TTTCTGTGATAAACTGTGCAGTGTTTGTTGTAGCAAAATTTCACTGAAAACAACATTTTTCGAAAACCGACTACTTTAGCTGCATAACAGCAATTTTGTTGAATGGCATGCTGCCCCGCCGGCATTCAGTATGCGCGCAGCATGAAACAAATTTCCAATCAAATAGCAGCTGCCAACGAATTTTTGGCCGGGAAATAACGCAAAGGAACAAGTATTCGTGGAAGTGTTCGCGGAAGAGGAAACGGAAACAAAGTTGTGAACTGATCAAACAAATGAAATGGCAGAAAAGTTATTGCAATGCCGCCGAGGCAACAGAGCCTGATGCGCCACACAACGCAACAGCAAGGACAGCATAGATAAGAATGGCGAATGCAGCATAATGAGACAAATCGATGAACAAATAAACGCGTCAAGGGTAGATAAATATGTACATATGTAGTACGCGCTGGTGGCGCAAGCAAACAAAGTGATAAAGTAGTTAGCTGCGCCGCAGATGAAGCTTCAGCGAGCACAAGTGCTAGGCCACACACACAGCCGTAGCCGACATTGAGAAGCAATTTTACTACCTGCCTACATAGATGATTGCTGCAGCTGTGGCATTGAATTGCTTGTTTTCCCACCTTTGCTCATCTGTTATTTCTCGTTCTCGTTGGCATTACACCAAAAGCGCTTTTGATTAGAATTAGAAGCACGTGCAGTTGATTGGTTGGTAATAAAAGCGCTTGCGCCTGCATATGTGCATACATACCTACACACGCCTTTCATTTACTTTTTATGCACGCCGCCAGCGATTGATAGCGGAGAATCGCTTCACTGCGCCACTCTTCATGCCAAACACTTTGGCATTTCCATGGAATGCTGTGCTTTGTTTATTAACCTTTGGCTATACGAAGGTACAAGGATGTGCTATGTTAGCCGTGCAATGGCCAAGCTAAGCGCAGGCGCTGAGTTGTTTTCATTGAAATTGCAGGTGCCAATGATAGCTTTGTTTTTGATGTGGATTTGCTTTTGATTCGAAGTGTTTTTCCAATTGTTTTTTTGTCTTTTTGCATTTGGTTAAAAGGTTCGCGCTTCACTTTGATGTGCGAATGCCGTGAAGCGCAGGATGGCATTGAGGATAGTTCAGGGATAGTAAAAATAAATAATAAATACAAAATATGTACATATAAAATAAGAAAATTCAAGGTTTTTTATTAATTACTCGAAGTGGGTAAAGTAATTGAAAGGTTGAATATCTTTGAACGCCGACTAGCAAATAAAAAT